GATGATTAATTAGTTTGTGTGGTTGCAAATATAGACGAACTCATCAATATCAAAAACTTTGTTAAAATGAAGAGAAAAATACATACTAGTTATAGTTACCCATATATTCATATTGAGATATACACTTAATCAAGTACACATGCGAAGTAGAGAGATTAATAATTAAGCAAATACAAAGTGCACAGGATAAAACTTGAAGCGTAGCTAGCAAGTGAAAGTTGATACATTAAATATTATGTATGTATATAAATCATTTAGCAAATGATTTCCAACAATAATAAGCTAATTAATCATTTAAGGGTTGTTGTTTTGGGTGTAGATGTAATCAGTGTGAGCAACTAAGGTTCTTCGTATCAAGAAGCATTCTTCTTCCCCAACACCTTCGCAGTTCTCATCTCCTTGTGCTGGTTTCTGCACATAACAAAAAAATTGTTATTGATATATATCGATCATAATTATTAAGTCCTGACTATATGTACATACAATATTTACTATATGCTCGATATTGTATGCACGTATACAATAGAATAAGGTTGAGAGAGACCTTTACGGATATTTCTCCCGGATAAACGGAGGTTGGATTGGACCGGGCTGATGCGTACGTTAGCGTAGAGCAGAGGAGGAGAGCGATGATGAAGAAGAAAGTTGTGAACTTAGCCATTTTGTGATATGATGATGACTAATTAAGTACTATGAAAATTCTTGTTATGGTTATGAATATTGAAAGAGATCGAGATCAAATATATTGAGAGAGAGGTATTAAATTAACATGAAGATGAGAATGTATTCGAGGCGTATTTATAGAGAAAGCATGAGATGAGATAAAAGTTATGCAGAAACGTGAACCATATAATCTTTAGTCGACTCAAGAGTAAGTGTACGTTATAAAACAATTACCATATCAAACACGCACATGTATATTTAAATATATAACGTTGACACGAAAAAAAAAAAAATTAACGAGTGTTATTCTTAATTGGTTAAAAAGGCAGTTCTGGTGAAATTGATCAATATGGAGGTGGAGTCAACTATATATTAAATAAAACTTACATACAACTATTGAAGAAAGTTGGTGGCGGATGTATCTGTATACTGAGATTCAACTAATGAATGTCATGTGAAGTTAATTGCAGCTTACTAATTTTTTATACTAATGAGTGGTGTTGTTACTTTTATAGTTTCTACCCATTTTCTGGTTAAGTGAATAACTCATTATATACGTGTGAAACGCAGGCTTTTATTTTTGTGTGTTTTAAGTATATATCTTGTTTTTGTTTAGATGATGTTATAGTATATTTATCGGAGAGAGACCATTTTTTTAGAGATTGTGCGAAAAATTTGAACCAATCCTGTAAAGCTAAATGACAATTAAGTCTCTCGATAACTTGAGAATCGTTTCTCGAGATGTAAACCTGTAATATCTCA